CCCCCCCCCCCCCCAATAATTTCCGTAGACCTTTGATCATTTGTGGCTTAATAACTGTGTATAACAAAGCTGTGACATTATTTTTTGACCACGAAAGCATGGTACTGTAGGTTATAGAACTATATGTAATATTGCATGAAATTTAAAGCAAAAAAGTTTATAAAAAATTAAGATCTCCAGGAAGAAAAGGAATATATTATATGAAACCCATTCACATTCTACATTAAGAGCTGTTCATAAGAGTAGGGATGGCCTGGTAAATCAGGTTAGTTTGCCCTCATACACTAGTGGACCGACGCAGGCTAGCCTGGCAAGCATTATGCAGAAATTGCAATATAATTTTGGATAGCTTTCTACATTCTTAGATTTATAGGTGTCTAAATGGCAAAATAAAGCACGTATCCACATTTGAATACAAACTTGAAATGGGGGTACCTAAGCAGCCTGGTCTATTTTGTAATGCCAGCACATCTCATATGGAACAGCCCATATATTTGGTGTCCACATCTTGCATAATGTAATACTAGGAGAGAAATGAACGAGTATTCAACATATTTTTGTAAAAAAAATTTATGTTTCTGCACTGCCATTCTGGTATACATATATTATATTGCAAAGACAACACAATATGATCCAATCATTGACAAATTGGTCTTCAAGAGAGTGAAACTTGAGTACTTGTTGCCAAGGCTTGAGCACGTCCAGAAGGCAGAAATTAAACTAAATGAAACAAAAATTATGACATGGATAATACCGTGTTATAGAAGGGCCACATTGCCAGCTTGACCTAGTCATGCTAGAGGCCTAAATTGCCCAGCATGGAAAGAAAGGGCTGTCCAGTTTTGTGCACAAATCAGTGATTTGCGAGCACAACAGCTTATATTGCTGTCAAATCTTTTGGCACAAAAACGATACACAATTCCTAGAGCCTAGACTCACTGCTGTCCGGTGCAGAGGAATTGTACATTCCATACACTCAGGCAAATTGATGTGTTGCCTGTGTCAGTGATTGTCAGGCATGGATGAAGTGTAAACATGGTCATAACTTGATGTTTGTGGTGTTACTCTGCATGTGCATCCACACCGGGACAAACTAAAAAGTTTGCCTGACTATGGTGGGAATCGAACCAGTGACCTTAATGGGATACCAGTCCAATGCTCTACCAACTGAACTACTAGGTTAAGTCAGTTCACAAGTTGGTATTCAAGGATGGCAGTGAGGTGTCTAACATCCCCGGCGGTGACCACGAAGAAAGTTTCGTATTGTTTAAGTACAAAGAGTTATCTGGTTTTTCATATGGAAAAATTAAGTTATTCCTCATTCCTGAAATTACCAGTTTTCAAAATCGCATTGATCAACTGAAAAGCTGTCTTGAAGAGGCTGAAGATGACGAATTGTCGTCTGAATCAGAGGAACAGGCACTATTTCAAAACCCACTGTCTTGTGAAATCAATTCTGTGAATTCTTCCAATAATGACCATTACATTACAAACCAATCCACAGAGACAGAGACAATAGAGATTCCAGATGAAGAGGCTATGGCCCAATCAGTGTTGGGGAATCCTCCAGAGAAGGATGGGGCTGCTATTAATATCAATGTCGAGTGTCCTTTGTGTCTTAAAAAATTTCCTATTGCAACTGTGGAACAGCATGCTGACCAATGTGCTTCATTGTTTCAAATAATACCGAATGGTGATGTTCATGACGATAATGAGGATGTTCAACCTTCAACTGCACCCGCATCTGATGGTACATTGAGGGATATGGTCCAGAAGCTTGCCCAGGTACAGTTTGACCCCGAAGAAGAACCTATACGGATAACTGTACGTCGTTCGAGGTTATGGGAAGATTTTAAAAGAGCGAGATTAAGATATTATTGCCCCCAAAAGAAGCTTAAGGTAACCTTTTCAGGTGAGCCGGCAATAGATGATGGTGGACCGAAGAGGGAATTTTTTTCAGGTAAAACACTATAAAAATATACAATGGGTGTTAAATTATAGGTTCAAGAGTTAAATAGCAGATATGCAGAGGCGTAACTAGAGCATTTATTGGGGAGTATATTCATATATTCGTGTTCTGCCCAGCAAATTTATTTTGAATTTCTTTGCTTTTACCATCTTCAATCTTCATGCTAGTAATAATTACAAAAATATTTATACAATTGCTAAAATAATTATTAAAGTAATTGTAGGCATTAATGTATTTATTTTCAGCCTAAAACGTCGCAAAAGTAACAGAAACCTTTCGGAGGTCACGCATGTAGGGGGTCATGGGAAAAAAACTCGGAGTAGAAAGGGGGCTACTGGAAATTTCCCTGCATATGCTGGGGGGTCAAGACGAAATTATCAATGAAAGTACCCAAAACCACCAGCCCCCCCCCCTCCTCCTCCTGATAAAAAATGAACGGTCCCTTAGGCCGAAACGGTACCGTCTGTAGTTAGATATCGCTCTATGGCCTTTAGGTCATATTGAGCGCTCTACAGGATGAGCCATGCCACTTACGCATTGCGCACGCTCACTGCTTGCAGTTTGAGCGCTCTGGCATGGTTTTGATGTCCCACAATCGTGAGGCATCAAAGGTAACTATAAATAAGAGTTACTTTCATCCTGCTCATCAGCACTACACTGATGAGGCCCATTAGGCCGAAACGGTACCGTCTGTAGTTAGATATCGCTCTATGGCCTTTAGGTCATATTGAGCGCTCTACAGGATGAGCTTATTGTGGGGAAGTAGGACGTTACTAAGGGTTGCAGAAATAGGAAGTTCAAGCCATTTTCGGATATACGTGGACGCGATACTATCTAGTTTATCGTTGACCCAGGTTTTGCCTATGTCAGAAACAGTGAAGTGCCAGGAGATTTTGGAAAGCACATAACGACTGTATAAGAGAATTTTGTTTTTCGGATGTAATGATAGATCATCAATTTCATTCAGGATATTAGTAAGTGTGTCATATACTTCTGATTTGTGGTCTTCGTTGGACATGTTGAAGTCAAAATAACGACCTAAGTAGCGAAATGATTTACCAAGTTCAACACGTGGTACAAGACAGTTATTTACAATAATAATAATAATAATAATAATAATATTAATATTAAAAGCACGCGTAGGAGTACAGTGCTTTAAATGGCTTAAAAACAAGTGCTTTAAATGGCTTAAAAAACGACTCATCTTATATGAGTTCATTGGCGAAGTAATTTTTAAAATAAACTTTGTCTAAATCGAGAAAATCAAAGCTAAAGTTTATGTAAATTAACATTATTTTTTATCACATATAAAGATACGAGACGCTTATGATTTTTCTTTGTGTTTTCCTCCTGAATTATTAATGAGTTTTTTAAAAGTATTTCAAAAATCATTAATAATTCATGAAGCAATTATCCAATATTGAGTAAGAAATTGATCACGTGCATACGTCTTTATACCAGCTAAAGAACACTTTAACAAAAGACCATTATTATGCAAACTATATAAAGATTTTTATATAAAGATTTTTAAATAAAGATTTTTTTATAAAGATCTTTATATAAAGATTTGACTTATTATGCAAACGTTTTTGAAGCCATTTAAAAAACTCGCAGGTCGTGTTTTATTAGGTCTAAAGCCACTCGCGCTGCACGCTCGTGGCTTTAAACCTAATAAAACACTCCTGCTCGTTTTTTAAATAGTACATAATATACTAAAAGCTTTCAATAAAAAACCTCACTATATTCATTAAGTTCTTGTAAGTTTTACAATGCAATGTGTACAGGTTGACCGGATTAACTAGCAATAAAAGTGTTATTAATTACATTTATATTAGTGCTCCAAGAGGAAAAGTTATGAAAAGCTCAACTCTTAGCTGATATAGATTTTCAACCGGCACTTAAATTAAGTTGCACCTGCATGAATACTTTTAATAACGACAAATGTGGTAAGAGGATTAAAGTGTTACGAGGTGAGATGACAGACACTGGCCAAAATTTAAAAACACGGCAAATCGTTTATCGTCTTCGTGCCTAGAATTTTTTCCAATTTCGTTGGTTTACAAAAACAACCCATAAATGTTGTATTGAGAATATTAAAGGGTTATTAACCAAATTCATCTTTATTTATTTTTCGAAACAAGTAAACAAACCTAAAATCTAAATCGAAACATAGTCGAGCATTCGGAGTACAGGCAAATGTTAAAACCTGATTTTAAATACAAATTTAAATTTAAACTTAATGTCGACCTAGAGGAATACCATTGTTGAAACCTGTCGACCTAAAACTACAAATTTAAAACCTGTCGACCTAGTGGAATACAATTGTTGAAACCTGTCGACCTAGAACTAACATTTAAAACCCGTCGACCTGTTGACCTAGTGTAATACAACTGTTGAAACATGTCGACCTGCCCACCGAGATATACAAATGTAAAACCTGTCGACCTAGAACTACAAGTTTCGAACCTGTCGACTTGTCGACCGAAAACCACTGAAACAAATCGACTTCAAATTTATGAATTAAAACATGTCGACCTGTCGACCAATATATACGAATGTTACGATTTAAAACTTGTCGACCTGTCAACCCTAAATCGACAAAATTCGTAAATGAAATCACATGATATCAATGTCTGTGACGTAGTTGGTGAGTTTTTACAGGGTGCATAAGCCTGATCAACCTAAAATCGGAATCTAAAACTAAAACACACCATAATAATAACAATAATGGGCAGTCTCCGACAGGATGGTGTTATCGGAGACTGCATTCCCATTATTATTATTATATATAGCATGTTATTATTTAACAATTATTCGCCGAAGGCGAGGTGATTATCGGTGAATAAAAACTGAGACGAAGTCGAGGTTTATATTCACGATAATATCATGATTGCGGGTATTCCCTTTGTTCTCGCAGGGCAATTAATAACTAATACACCTCATTATATTCATTTTTTCTAATCCTACCCGCTTTTACGTCATGTCAGGTAGAATTAGTTGTAATCCTACCCGAAACGACGTCAAAGCGGGTACGATTAGAAAAAATGAATATATCTGAAATCGCCAAAGCTAAACAAAGACATGGAAAACAATTATACCATTTAATTTATACCATTATTTATTGTTAATTGGTTTTTACTAAATGACCCTCATCGAGCGGCGCCCAAGGGAATTTTACTAAACGACCCTCATCGGGCGGGACGTTTTAATTGCTAATTCGCCTCTTTCTATGCTATTACTTATAATAATCACCGAGCCTGAGGTGAATAATTGTTTTAGTATAATTGCAGGTGATTATTTGGGAAAAAAACAAAAAACGCAAATCTTCGTAATTTAATTGACAAAACGGCTTCGGCCGCCATTTCGAAAATCGCATAGGTTATTATCGCGCTATAAACACCTCAACGGCAACGAATCAGCGTGGAGAATTTTCAATAATCACCTATTTTATTATGATCAAACTTTGATATTGAACATTACTTTACATGTAAAATCTCATATAGTCAAATTTAGAATATTATAACTAGGTCGGTCAAGGTGCCAAGTTGTACCAAGAGGTACCAGCATTTTGACAACTTGTATCAAGGCGTACCATCACATTGGCAACTTGTGTCAATGCGTGCTGGTTATGAAAGGCAATACAAAATATCTGCATGTGCATGAAACATTTAGTGTTGAGACAAACATCTTAATTTGTGTTATTAAGGCCTGCCGGATAATTCACTCAAAGATAAATATAAAAATCATACTATAAAGGACTTAAAGAAAACTTTAAAACTACTAAAATCGCCAAACTCTGATCTTGCTGAAATTAAATATGTTTCTCGTCTTGTGCGTGATATAAAGCTGAAAACTTGCCAGACTAATCATAATCTTGTTAATAATACTGAAGAATCCTTTAACCACAATAAATACTTTGAACGAAATTTCTGGGGATACGTAAAGAAAGTCCTTACTTACAACGAATCCATCCTCACAACTTTCAATATAGACGATTGCGTAAAACATTTTAAGACAGTATTGACCAAGATCAACCCAAATAAAATATTTCAAATATCAAGTTGGATTCCTATGTTACCCGATCCTGTTTTTGAATTTAACCTCGAACCACCGTTTAACCTCAACAAGTAACAAACATTATTCGCAAAATTAAAACATTTGGCTCACCTTCTCCTCTTCACCAAATCTCCATTATTTAATTTTGTTTTAAACGCTGTCCATACCTCCGAACATATCTAGTAGAGCTAATCCAAGCAGTGTGACTTTCTGGAACTGTTCCTGACGAATGGAAGAAAGCTTGCACAATACTAATCCACAAGAAAGGCGATACAGCGATACTAATCTCCCCGAGAACTTTCGACCAATAACCCTTCAATCTGTACCACCGAAAGTATTTACTTCAAGTCTGAGACTTGAAGTCTCCGTAATGCTATGTTCGCTTACCTACTTGCGAATAACTTTATTGAACAAAAGATACAAAAAGGATTCAACCCCATATCTCAGGAACATTTTAACACACGGCACAAATGGCATATATGATCAATCAAGCACGAATTAGACAGCGATCCTTAGTTATATCCTTGACCTCAAGAATGCTTTCGGTGAAGTTACTGAAGTACATCACAATCTAATTTAATCGGTTCTCTGCTTCATCGCATACCTGAACATATTCAATTCATGATTAAAAGCCTCTACACAAATTTTAAAACATCAATCATCACATCTGATCTCAACACATCCCATTTCGACAAGTTGGTCGTGGAGTTTTGCAGGAAGACCATGGCGGCTAAAGATATCTCGCAGTGCATTTATAGCAGTCGTAGCTGTTGTAGTAGTCATTTTAACAACTTCCGGAAACTTACTGTAAGCGTCAATTACCACCAGATACATTTTCCCAGCAATACGCCCAGCAAAGTCGATATGAATGCGAGACCAAGGCTGTGATGGAAAAATCCAGGGATGTACTGGCGCTTTTGCTGGCTCTGATCGCATTTTCTGGCAAACAGGGCAAGTGGACACAGTCTGTTCAATGTCGGAATCAATCTTTGGCCACCAGACATAAGACCTCGCAAGCCCTTTCATTCTTGTCATGCCCGGATGGGTGTCATGTAATTCGGTTAGCATTTCACTTCGAAGAGATGGAGGAACAACAACCCGAGCTCCCCAAAGGATGCGTCCTTGATGAATAGTTAGTTGATCACTTCTGTTTTTGTACGGAATCATATCAGCATCAACTACAGAGGGCCAACCACTTTGTATGTATCTATATACTAAAGAAAGAACAGGATCCACTTGTGCCTTTTTCTTAATCATTTCAGCAGTTACATTAGTAACAACACCAGCTTCAAAGAAATAACATTCTACATTTTCACTTTTAGGGCACCAAGTTTGTGGTAAAGGTAGACGGGACATGCTGTCAGCGTCAGCATGTGCAGTTGTACTTCGGTACTCAATCTTGTAATGGTATAAGGCTAGGATAAGTGCCCATCTTTGTAATCGTGAAGCCGTGTGGGCTGGAACAGAACAATGTGGTCCCAACAATGTAAGGAGTGGGCGATGATCAGTTAGGATAGTAAATGAATTAGCACAGAGATATTGATGAAATCGTTTAAGTCCAAATATTATACTGAAAGCTTCCTTCTCAAGCTGTGAATAATTTCGTTGGGCCTCAGTTAATGTACATGATGCAAATGCTATCGGTTGGTGTTTCCCATTAATGACATGTGACAATACCGCTCCTGCACCATAAGAAGAAGCATCACATGATAGAACAAGAGGCAATGATTCATTATAATGTACTAGTGTTCTCGAATTTAGTAAAAGATTTTTAGCTGCTTTGAAAGCTGCGTCTTCTGATTTAGTCCACTTCCAAGGTACATTCTTCTTAAGCAGATTATTCAGCGGTGCTAATACAGTGGAATGGTGTGGCATAAATCGTGAGTAAAACATAATAAGTCCTAGGAAAGACTTAAGAGCCGTAGCATCCTTTGGAGGGGGGGGGGGGAGGGGCATCACGCACAGCTGCCAGTTTGTCTTCAGTTGGATGGAGGCCAGCACTATCTATTAGATGACCTAGGTACACCACAGAAGACTGGAGAAATTTGCACTTAGATTTGTTTAACTTGAAACCAAACTTAAGCAATCTTCCTAGCACTTGGGACAAAGTATTCAGATGATCTTCATAATCAGTTCCAGCAATAAGAATGTCATCCAATCTGCTAACAGCTTTCGGAATATCTGCTAATAATCCATCCATAATTCTCTGAAATATAGCAGGACCTGAATGAATCCCGTTAGGCAATCTTTTAAAAGCAAAGAGACCCAGATGGGTGTTGATGGTAAGATACTTCTGAGACTCAGTTGAAATGGGAATTTGATGATAAGCTTGCTTCAGGTCTAATACACTGAATACTTGACAGCCCCTCAATGCAGAATGCATATCTTCTATTTTAGGCATTGGATAAGTCTCAACTTCAGCACATGCATTATAAGTAACACTGAAATCACCACAAACTCGAACTTCATCACCGTCCTTTTTGCCCACCGTAACAATAGGGGAAGCACTAACAGCAGAAGAAGGTTTGGGGGCCAAGGACAATGCACAAGGAACACTCTTGATTCTCAATTTTCAAGGGTACGGAAAGTTCTGATTTGTATAGGGAGTTAACATCAAAAACCGTAAATAATTCTTCCTCAAGAAACACATCATCTGAACTCAGTTTCTGTCCGACAAAGTTATTTTGCATGTTACCTCTCTTGCAAACACAAGCAATGTGACCAGTCCGCTTACATCGGCTGCATACAACATTTCTAAATCTACACTTGGCCCGAGAATGTTCAGTACCTCCACAGGAATAACAGGCATATGAAAATTTCTGGGCAGTATAGGCAATGGTGGTCTTAGGTTATTGGAATTTGATGTATTCCTGCTATTTGAAAACTTATCAGGAATTTGATTTCTACCCACAGTATGCACAGATTCGTTCACTGGTTTCGTATTGTTTTGAAATGCTAAAGTCTCCTTACAAGCAACTTCATGAGCTATGGCCACTTTTAACACATCTTGAAAAGTACGGTCTTCATTTAGTAACTCTTTCCGAGTAGCTGAATTACGAATTCCGCATATAAATTGATCACGCAGAGAACGGTTTAAGAACTGACCAAAGTCACAAGTGGAAGCATAATGTCGCAAACGTGCACT